TAGGGAAAAATAGCTTACCCCTCAGAAATTATTATACTTACTGTTACAATACTTATTACAAGTTTTTTTCCAAGAACTTTCCTTTTTGAAAGAAAAACAGCCAGCGACTGTATGCCAATGAGTATCTGCCAGCAAATCCATGACTAAGGAAGCTTCCTTCCCTACTTCAAATTTGTTCTTTTGAAACATATTAATTTAGCTACAGATCGACCAAGGGCATTTCTAATTAGGCATTTTTTTAGTGTGTGAATCATAAAGTAATCAGTGTATATGTTAGGAAAAATAAATGTCACTTTGGCCTTGTGGTAAATGCATCTAGTCTCCTTCTGAGTCAGAATTTTAAGCCAAAAATGGCAGGGACATATAAGAATCTCAATTACTTTCTTAACACCTGTCTGGCTGGTCTCTAAGAACTCAGTATATCTCTGGACACAGAATCTAAAGGGGAATAGTTAAACTTTTATTTTTTGGTTTTGGGAAAAGGTGGTAGATTATTAGAAATATATGCTACCTACATTACAGCTTTGTTCATTCCTATACCTGTGGTGTTTTGAAGACTCTTAACATGAAGGACTTAAGAGGAAAAAAAATCAACGACAATCATTATCCTTACTCTCAAATAACTTAGAATACCTTTGTCCATGCGGGCATTCACCATGAGTTTGTGAAATACCCGCAGTGTGCTGCACACAGTTAGACTCTGGATATCACAAGAAGAGAAATAGAGTTCCTGACTCCTAGGAGCTCAAATCAAGGGGCAGGGGAGGCAAACAGCAGGGGCGATAGATCCTCTAAAAGATCATTTTAAAGCACGTGCTATGGGCTGAACTGTTTCCCCCAAAATCCATACGTTGAAGTCCTAACCCCCAATACTTCAGAATGTAACTGTATTTGGAGATAGGGTAATAAAGAGGTAATTAAGTTAAAATGTGGTCATCTGGGTGGGCCCTAATCCATTATGACTGGTGTACCTATAAGAGGAGGAAATCAGGACACATCTACACAGAGGGAAGACCATGTGAAGACACAGGGAGAAGACAGCCATCTACAAGCCGAGGTGAGAGGCCTCAGAAGAAACCAACCCTGCTGACACCTTGACCTCAGATCTCGAGACTCCAGAATTGTGAGAAAATAAATTTCTGTTGTTTAAGCCACCTAGTCTGTGGCATTCTGTTTTGACAGCCCTAGGAAACTAACAGTGTGTTTTAAGTGCAATTTAAAAAAATGTATAGGTTATATCAACTGTAATAGCGGTTGGAATATCCATCAACAGATTTAAAAAAACAAACAAAACCAACATTTAGCAAGACATCTACTAGTGCTGTCAACAGAGGAAATAAGGGTGGCAGCGAGGGATCTGGGAGGGTATGTGATGGCTGCCAGATGCAAGCCAAGGAAGACAGAAGGCTGAGGGGTAAGGATGTAATGAACTCTGTGGGGGGAGGCGCCTCCACGGCCAGATCTCGCTACAGCTCTCAGTGGCCACAATAGTAACAACACAGATGCAACCCCACAGGCTGCTTCTTACCTAGTTCGGAATATTAGAAGCTGACAATGATCCTGTGATAGAGGCTTCTGAGTGCTGATAATATGTGGGTCAGAAAAGAGGGTGAGTTGATCTATCTTTCCGGAGAGCATCTGTTCTTGCTGGACCCCAAAGCTGTTCATTCTTCTTGGTATTAGTCAACTGATGCTCCAAAAGTGGACACGTGGTTTAAATTGTATCCCCTGCATTCAGGTTTCTGGATTCAAGTTTGTGTTTTTCACGAAGACTGGTTAAACTAACTTTTCCTCTCTTAAACGTCACCAAGTTCTCTCTTGGTGGTGGTGGTGTGAGCACCTCAGAAATGTAAGCACATGGGAATCCCTCACAACTGTTGTTTTATTAAACAAGTAAACCAAAGTTTGTCTTAGTCTTCACAAGAGAAGTGTGTTCTCTTAAAACTGTCTTCCATATATAAAATAAACAATTGTTTTTGCTCAAGTAAAATCCTCAAACCCTCTCGAATACTGCTCTTCCAGATGTCAGGAATCAGAGAAGCAAGCTATAGCCTCAGCAATTAAAAAAAAAAAGTATTTGTGAAAATACAGTGGTGATGAAATATTTTAATGTTTCATATTGGAGAACATGCAAAGGTTTTGCTTGAATTCGGGGCAAGGTTGAGTGTTTATGCTCATTGAATATGTTAGTCAATGCGTCTTTTCCTATAATGCCACATTTGTCTCATTGATGACTATGTTTAGAAACAACAGAACGTGAAGAATCATGTTGGTTTAAATACACTAATCATGATAGATATGTATTTAGATATCCATGAGCAATTCTTAGTTAAAACCAATTTTTTGGCTTTCAAGTATACTTAATATATTTTAACCCACTAATATAGTTTTATGGAGAAAAGGTACTATTTCTTCCTGATTCCCTTAAATGTATTTGATGGTTGGGCATTTAAGTTTCAATTGTCTATCACTGCATACAAGTTTAGAAGAAAACGCTCATGGT